GTCAGGAAACAACAGGTGCTGGAGAGGATATGGAGAAATAGAAACACTTTTACACTGTTGGTGGGATTGTAAACTAGTTCAACCATTATGGAAAACAGTATGGCGATTCCTCAAGGATCTAGAACTAGAAGTACCACATGACCCAGCCATCCCATTACTGGGTATATACCCAAAGGATTATAAATCATGCTGCTATAAAGAGACATGTACACGTATGTTTATTGTGGCACTATTCACAATAGCAAAGACTTGGAATCAACCCAAATGTCCATCAGTGACAGACTGGATTAAGAAAATGTGGCACATATACACCATGGAATACTATGCAGCCATAAAAAAGGATGAGTTCATGTCCTTTGTAGGGACATGGATGCAGCTGGAAACCATCATTCTCAGCAAACTATCGCAAGAACAGAAAACCAAACACCGCATGTTCTCACTCATAGGTGGGAACTGAACATGAGATCACTTGGACTCGGGAAGGGGAACATCACACACTGGGGCCTATTATGGGGAGCGGGGAGAGGGGAGGGATTGCACTGGGAGTTATACCTAATGTAAATGACGAGTTGATGGGTGCAGCACACCAACACGGCACAAGTATACATATGTAACAAACCTGCACATTATGCACATGTACCCTAGAACTTAAAGTATAATAATAAAAAAAGAGAGAAATATCAATATGTTTTAATGTAACAGACTCTGAAGTTCACAATTAAAAGTTAATTGAGATAAATTTCAGATTTCACATTGCAACTAACATCTAAGAAACTACTACTTGTGGGCTGGGCGAGGTGGCTTACACATGTAATCCCAGCACTTTGAGAGGCCAAGGCAGGCAGATCACCTGAGGTCAGGAGTTCCAGACCAGCCTGACCAACATGGTGAAACCCCATCTCTACTAAAAATACAAAAATTAGCCGGGTGTGGTGGAGGGCAGCTGCAATCCCAGCTACTCGGGAGGCTGAGGTGGGAGAATCACTTCAACCTGGGAGGCAGAGGTTGCAGTAAGCCGAGCTCGCACCACTGCACTGCAGCCTGGGTGACAGAGTGAGACTCTGTCTCAAAAAACAAACAAACAAACAAACAAACAAACAAACAAACAAACAGAAAATATGACTTGTGGTATAAAAAAAATCCACAATTAACGGAAAAGGTTATTAAAATACTCCTTCATTTTTGAACCACATTTTGTATATGCCAGATTTTCTGTATATCCTTCAGCCAACGATATATAGATTATAACAGATTATAAGCAGAAGCTGATTTGAGAATCTAGCTATGTTCTATTAAAGCAGACATTAGTGATTAGCAAAAATCACTGATTTTTTGGATATACAGCTTTTTCGTGACACATGTTACTTATATTATATGACAACTATATAATGAGTTTATTACTACTATTAAATATTTTTAAAATGTGTAATTTCTAATATGGTAAACATTTATGGATATAAGCTATAGCCTATATAGACAAAAGCTCTTCAGAATCCTCAATAAGTTTTCTGAATGTAAAAGGGTCCTACGATCAAAATGTTTAAAAGTTATGTTAGCACACTTGAGGTTGGTGCCGGAAATCCACAGGAGCAGGAGACCGCTGCAGCCTGCTGTCTATCAACCCAACGAAGCATCCACCTAGCGAATAGTATGCTCTAGCTTAATTAATGAACACACAGACTGGGAAGTGGCCATAAGAATTAGAAGAAAAAAGTGAAAATTGTTACCCCAGATGGTTTGATTAAAAATTAGAGATTTTACCCAGGGGAGAATATTCATCAAACTTCTTAAAGATTATAATGCAGAAGGATGCACAGACTTTTTCTATGTATTTCAGACGGCAAATTTAACAGGAATGGGCAACTGTTACAGAAGCAAATTTCCCCGAAACATATGAAATACATTTCCTAACCAGCAGAGCTGAGCAACAGAAGCCGCTTCCTGACAGTCCCTTCTGTCCACAAATACTGTCTATTATGTGCCTGTATTTGGGAATTCCAACAAGAAATAAGATCCTGCCTTCGTTCACTCCAATGGGACACACGAGCAAACAAACTACACTAATTTCAGGGTCCGGTAACTATCCCGATGGAGGGAAACAGGCTTTTGCCATACAGAGAGATGTGTGAAAGCTCCCGAAGATAGATGCCTAGAAAAAGGCTCTGTGAGGCAGTGATGTATAAACAGAGAGACTTGAGAAACAGGTAGAAGCAGAGCCCTATGCAAAGAAAAAGGGCCGCGGCAATGCAAGCGCCCCAGCACTGGGAAAAAACCTGGAGCGTCCTTACAACAGTAGCGGCAACGGCAAGTGTGACTGGAGCACAGGGCAGAGCCCGGCGTCAGTATTTGTTTTAAGAGTTCTCTAGGTGATATTAATGCACTGCCTGGGATGAGAGTCTGTTAGGCAACAATAAGGAATTCAGATATTATTATCATTTTTTTTTGAGACGGAGTCTCGCTCTGTGGCCCAGGCTGGGGTGCAGTGGCCGGATCTCCGCTCACTGCAAGCTCCGCCTCCCGGGTTCCCGCCATTCTCCTGCCTCAGCCTCCCGAGTAGCTGGGACTACAGGCGCCGCCACCTCGCCCGACTAATTTTTGTATTTTTAGTAGAGACGGGGTTTCACTAGGTTGGCCAGGATGGTTTCGATTTCTTTACCTCGTGATCTACCTGCCTCGGCCTCCCAAAGTGCTGGGATTACAGGCATGAGCACCATGCCCGGCCGATATTATTATTATTTTAATAATAATACACGAAGGCCGGGCGCGGTGGTTCAAGCCTGTAATCCCAGCACTTTGGGAGGCCGAGACCGGCGGATCACGAGGTCAGGAGATTGAGACCATCCTGGCTAACATGGTGAAACCCCGTCTCTACTAAAAAATACAAAAAATTAGCCGGGCGAGGTGGCGGCGGCGCCTGTAGTCCCAGCTACTCGGGAGGCTGAGGCAGGAGAATGGCGGGAACCCGGGAGGCGGAGCTTGCAGTGAGCGGAGATCCGGCCACTGCACCCCAGCCTGGGCCACAGAGCGAGACTCCGTCTCAAAAAAAATAAAAAATAATAATAATAATACACGGGTTTCACTATGTTGCCTAGGTGGGACTCAAGGGACCCTCTGGCTCTGGCCTCAGCCTTCAAAGTAGCTGGGATTATAGGCATGTGCCGCTATGCCTGGCTTCATATATATATACACACGTAGATACATTTTTTTTTTTTTTGAGATGGGAGTCTCACTTTGTCATCCAGGCTGGAGTGCAGTGGTCCAATCTTAGCTCACCATAACCTCCGCCTCTCAGGCTCAAGCAATTCTCATGCCTCAGCCTCCCGAGTACCTGAGAATACAGACATGTGCCACCACGCTCGGCAAAATTTTTGTATTATTTGTAGAGATGCGATTTTGCCACGTTGGCCAGGCTGCTCTCAAACTCCTGACCTCAAGAATCTGCCCACCTCCACCTCCAAAAGTGCTGGGATTATAGGTGTGAGCTACCACTCCTGGCCAGGTATTATTTTAATATAAGAGTAAGTCACTGAAGAGTGGAAACTAGTAGGACTGATTTACTTTTTTTTTTTTTTAAATTTACTTTGTAAAAGATCACTTTAGTTCTTATGGGAGGAATTGAGGGCATGAATAGAAAACTGTTTAATGCTGAAAGTTCTAAGAGGCTGAATAAGTGTTTATTAGGAAAGATTTATGGGATGGAGGCTTAGCCACTAGATGGTGATGGCCAACACTAAGAGAGTGATTTTTCAGAGACTCTAAACAATCAATAGGTACAATCAGAGAAAGGTGGAAAAAATGCCTACAAAAGTGCCAGATGCAGTGGCATGCACCCGTAACCCCAGCCCTTTGGGAGGCTGTGGTAGGAGGTTTGCTTGAGGCCAGGAGTTCGAGGCAGCCTGTGCAACATAGTAAAACCTCATCTCTACAAAAATAAAAAATATTAGCCAGGTGTGGTGGGGCATGACTGTGGTCCTAGGTACTCAGGAAGCTGAGGCAGGAGGATTACTTAAGCCCAGGAGGTCAAGGCTGCAGTGAGCTGTGATCATGTGACTTCACTCCAGCCTGGACGACAGAGAAAGACCTTGTCTCAAAAACAAAAAACAAAACCTACAAAAGAGGGAACATCACGTGTGAACTGCTCCTAAATACACTTTGTCAATTTGACCATGTTCTACTAACAAGGTATTTATGCCCTTACATTGCTACCATATGTAATTTATCTAGCTAAAGACTTTAACATTTCAAACAAAGGAAGAGAATTCTATTTACAATTTTAAAACTTTATCATCAACTGACCTAAAACCTACCCAGTATTATTAGTTCTGTTAACTAGTCCAAAGATAAACTTTGAAATTGCTTTTATTTGAACTGGAAAATTGTTACTTTCAAACTAAATATAAATAATAATAAATTGATACAGAAACAAAGCAAAAAGACTATTCTAATTCAAAAATACCTTATATCTTAAAGCAACTTAATGTTTTTCATCAATTTGGTAATTATTTGTAAGTAATGCTCTTTAGCCTCTAACTTAAAAAGTCTGAAGAGTCCTCTTTAGTGTGCTCTGAGTTCTCTCACTTGCCAGCATTCTTGCCGCTGTCCCTGATATGAGGACACCACATCGGGTGTTAGTTAGCCTGAGCGCTGCTGCCTGTCGTGCAGAAGAAAGCGAAACATGCCCGTGTCTCTAGCGCAAGCGGAAAAACATGTGGCTCCCCTTCTCTCATTTCTCTTATCCACCTGTTTTCTTTAGGCATTCTGAGTTTGTAAGGCACTAAAATAAAATATGTATTATACAAATACAAACTACTATACCAAATAATACAAATGATATTCCAGATATTTTTATGGTAAAATACAGTATTTGGTAAAGTTACTAATAATATCAATTATTCCCAACAATAAAAAATATCTACTAGAACAATCAATTCAAATTCATAGCATTTAATATTTACGCTCCATATGTAAATACACATACTTTAAGAGGAAAAGAAAATTACCTTTCAAAAGATGGTTCAGATCCATTGTGTCATGTAAGACTTTTTGTTTATGTCTGTGCTCCAAACTGGAGTCTAACACTGAAGACGACTTTGAGGACAGACCAGGCTCATGTTTTTCTTTCCCTTTTTTGGCTGATTTCAAATATTTTGAATTATTTTTCAAATCCTCAACATCTTCATATATTTCTTGGCTCACATTTTCTTGCTTTTCAACTTTCACTTTTTGATCATTTGCTATGCCCAGTTCAAAAGACTGAAGAGGGCTAATGTCTGGAGTTGATAAGGGACTTACGTCGGTCACAGTATCTTCAGACTCCTCAGGGTAGTGGCCACATTTTGGTGTCATACTTGAAGGCTGTGTTTCTGTCGATTTTATTTCTGATTTATACTTCGGTTTTGGTGACAGGAGGGTTACACCAGATACATGTTTCTTGGATGATGGAGATGAATCAGATAGATGGCTATCAGATGCTGCATCTAAACAATCTGTGCTTGAACTTGAAGATGAGGAAGATAAAGAGGAGAAGGAAGAGGAGCTAACTTTGCAATACTTTTTCCTTATGCTTTTTTTAACGTTGGTAGATGGTTTGGTGGACTTGGACTTGGCATGGTATTTCTTCCCATCATCACTACTTTCCTCTCCACCTGTGTAGTAATCATCTTCACCTTCTTTTACAATTTTGGGAATTCTACTTGGAATGGACACGTGTATTTTAAGTCCTGTTGTAACATCACACAATTTTTTTGATCTTGAAGAGGCTGGCAATGAGAAAGAACTTACAGTTTGTGTAACATCGTTCTCTACAGGGTGTTCTGGGGGAAGTTTCAGGTTTCTTTCATTTCCCTTCTCAGTAAGATAATTTTCTGTTGTTTGCATTCCAGTGTTCGAGTTCACATTTTTTGTATCTTTATCTATTCTTTCCTTCAGGTCATCATTTTGCTTGTCAAAAACTGAGTTAGTTTCACATTTCTTTCCTTCTTCAAAGTCACTGTCAAAGAAAGAATGGTCGACTTCACCTTCTAATATATCTCCAAACTGATCCATGATGGCAAAAATATATCTGCCAAAAAAAAAAAAGGTAAACATCAGACTAAAGAGTGATTTCCAAATACTTCCCATTTGTATACAATAATTATTTTCCCAAACTGACAAGTGTGGTTAATATATAAAAAGAAACATTATAAAAACAACAACAAAAAAGTAACTCAGTGAAGTGATGATGGGGTTGTATGAGTAACAAGTTCTACCAATTATTTGAAAAATAAAAAAGTTCCATAATTAAGTTCACAAGAAAATAACAGATCATCAAGGCAGGGATGTCACAAACATGGATACCTAAGCGAACCTTAAGGATAATCTGCCTTCTATAAATTAAGTACAACGAAACAAAGAAAAAGGCTTGACGCGGTGGCTCACGCCTGTAATCCCAACACTTTGGGAGGCCAAGGCAGGCGGATCACCAGGCCAAGAGATTGAGACTATCCTGGCCAACGTGGTGAAACTCCATTTCTACCAAAAATACAAAAATTAGCTGGGCGTGATGGCGCGTGCCTGTAGTCCCAGCTACTCGGGAGGCTGAGGCAGAATTGCTTGAAGCCAGGAAGTGGAGGTTGCAGTGAGTAGAGATCACACCACTGCACTCCAGCCTGGTGACAGAGCGAGACTCTGTCTCAACAACAACAAACAAAAACAAAAACCCAAAAAATATACAAATTAAATACAATTAGAGTTTAGAATAAGAAAGGATAGAATTAAAAAAGAATCTCATAGGTCACCTCCCTTGAGAATAAAAGTCAAAAAAATAAAAGAAAAGAAGAAAAATCTCATAGGACCAGCTAAACCAGTCCAAACACGATTCTAGTGGAAGCCGTGCAGTGAGGACTGCCTAACATGTTTCAGGACTTGCTGTCTCTGCCCCCTTTCTGCTCCTTTACCGCAGTTAGGGAGGAAGCAGCAGAGACAAGGAGATGATTCTTGTCAAGGTTCCGCAACCCTTCTTGAAGAGGAACAAAAGTTCTAAGTCACACATACAGGCTGCACAGGTATGTCAAACTTCTGAATGTGTAATCACAAACCGCCAAAAGCACATGTAGAAAATGAAAGGGGAAGAATATATGTCTCACTGTGTTAAAGGGGGTATGATATAAGAGATATTTCACAGCAGACAGCCAATGGCTGTCTAAAATGGAAAAATCAAGGCATATTATTCAGACACATGGAGTTAGGTATTACAAAAAATGGATTAAAATGTTCAAAGTAGTTCCCTTTATTATGGGGCAGGGACCACTTGATTTTTGTGTGCTTTTTTCCTTAGAGACCACTGTTTTTGTTACAGACCTTAAATTACTAGTTGACCTGTAAATTTATATATTACTATGATAAAAACATTGATTTAAAATATTTTAATATTCCATACAGTTAAATTAGAAACATCACTATAAAGTCATAGTCTTTAAAAAAAATTTTTTTAATCTGTTATTACAGTGGTCAAAGCAGCTGTGTCACATTATCCATTACTGATAACCTTAAGATCAGAATTGACCTTCTAATTCTATTCTCCACTAAAAAAACCCCAGGACTCCTTGGCAGGCAGGGGACTGCATTTCTGGAGGCAAAGAGCCTGGACCAGCTTATTGTTGCCAGAAAGCACAATATTCATAAATATGCCTGGGGGGGCGGGAATCAAACAGAGGATCAGTTTAAAGGGGCTTCCACTGTCTACGTTGGACAATTCGGCACTGAAAAAGAAAAAAGACAAGTATACATAAAAATGAAAAAATAATTTCTATGAGAAGCCATGAGTACACACTGATATTCAAAAGTGACAATAAAATAATTTCCAGTAATAAAACAGCAAAGGGCCAGGCACGGTGGCTCATGCCTGTAATCCCCAGCACTCTGGGAGGTGAAGGCAGGTGGATCACGAGGTCAGGAGTTCGAGACCACTCTGGCCAACACAGTGAAACCCCACCTCTACTAAAAATACAAAAAATCAGCCAGGTGTGGTGGTGGGCGCCTATAATCCCAGCTACTCAGGAGGCTGAGGCAGGAGAATGGCATGAACCCAGGAGGTGGAGATTGCAGTGAGCTGAGATCACGCCATTGTAGCACTCCAGCCTGGGCGACAGTGCGAGACTCTATCTTAAAAACAAAACAAAACAAAAATAGCAAAAAATGCAATTATGTGCTCACTATATTCATATTATAATTAATTCTATTTTACATCAAATCAAGGAGTAAATGATTATGTAATCTGTATCCTAAACCAGCCACAACACTCTGCAGCATTTAATTGCTTAAGTGACTGTGCAACCTTAAAAAAATCTTTTTTAAAGTATATAATCTAAAAGTGAGTCAAACTAGTATTATTAATACTATTGTGATAAATTAACATGACAGGTTAAGGTATGTGTGGTAATACATTTTATCATGGGTTAATTCTGCTTGTCTTTAGTGTTTCGAAGAGTTGAAAAGATTCTGACGTATTAGATTCATAAAAATTAAACTGTCATCTACATTTAAGCACAGAAGGGAATCTAATTGATTAAATCAGTAAGTTTAGACTTAGTTGGTTTTATAAACAATATCTAAGTGCTTAGGAAGATTTCCTTTGTTAGGTTTGTAAGTGTGCCTAGCCAGCAGTTTGAGGTACCTAAAAAAAAAATCTAAACAATAAAAATTTGTGATGTTAAGTTAGCAAATGGTATACAACGTTTAGGAAAATTTAATATATTTTATCAGCTAAATGAAGATTAAGCAAAATACAAGTGAGTTTTAAAATTCTAATATGTAAGAAGATCTTAAAATTTAAGATTATAAATGTATACCTAATAAACATTAAAATACCAGTTTTACTATTTTCCATAGCATCGATTAATGCCTTCTCATTTTAAAACTCAAACTGACAGAGGGAAGTCTCTATCCCAAATCCTTAAAAGACAGATACTTGATAAAGTTTATTTTTATGTTTTATCTTTTGAGACAGGGTCTTGCTTTGTCACCAGGCTAGAGTGCAGTGACAGGATTCTAGCTCACTGCAGTCTCCAACTGCAGGAGCTCCTGGGCTCAAGTGATCCTCCCACCTCAGTCTCCCTACTAGCTGGAACTACGGGCATGCACCACCACACCCGGGTTTTTCTTATTTTCTTTCTCTCTTTTTTTTTTTTGAGACAGAGTCTCTCTCTGTCACCCAGGCTGGAGTGCAGTAGTGGGATCTCGGCTCACTGCAGCCTCCACCACCCGGGTTTCCGTGATTCTCCCGGCTCAGCCTCCCAGGAAGCTGGGATTACAGGCATGCACCACCACGCCCAGCTAATTTTTATATTTTTAGTAGAAAAGGGGTTTTGCCATATTAGCCAGGCTAGTCTCAAACTCTGAACTCAGGTGATCTGCCCACCTCAGCCTCCCAAAGTGCTGGGATTACAGGCGTGAGCCATCGTGCCCAGCTGCTTTATTTTCTAGAGACAGAGTCTGCCTATGTTGCCCAGGCTGGTCTGGAACTCTGGGCTCAAGTGAGCACCCCATCTCAGCTTCCCAAAGTGCTGGGATTACAGTCATGAGCCACCGTGTTCGGCCTCCTAATAATGTTTTTTTGTTTGTTTTTGGTTTTTTGAGAGTCTCACTCTGTCACCCAGGCTGGGGTGCACTGGCATGATCTCGGCTCACTGCGAACTCTGCCTCAAGCAATTCTCCTGCCTCAGCCTCCTAAGTAGCTGGGATTACAGGCATGAGCTACCACGTCCAGCTAATTTTGTTTTTTAAGTAGAGATGGGGTTTCATCATGTTGGCTAGGCTGGTCTCAAACTCCTGACCTCAGATGATCTGCCCGCCTCAGCCTCCCAAAGTGGTGGGATTACAGGCGTGAGCCATTGCGCCTGGCTATCTCAAGTAATTTATACAAACTGAAACTTGTCTCTTTCAAAAAGGAATCTGGCACTTTTAGAGTCATAAAAAAACCTAAAAACTTCTGAATTAGTAATATCACTTCTGGAAGTTTATCCTAAAGATACTATACTAAAAAGAAAAAAGATGCCCCGCACGGTGGTTCACAACCGTTAATCCCAGCACTTTGGGAGGCCAAGGCGGGCAGACTGCCTGAGGTCAGGGGTTTGAGACCAGCCTGGCCAACATGGTGAAACCCCATCTCTACTAAAACTACAAAAAATTAGCCAAGTGTGGTGGCATGCACCTGTAATCCCAGCTACTCAGAAGGCTGAGGCAGGTGAATCGTTTGAACCTGGGAGGCAGAGTTCGCAGTGAGCCGAGATTGTGCCAGTGCACTCCAGCCTGGGTGACAGAAAGAGACTCTCTCTCTCAAAAAACCAAAACCAAAACAAAACAAAACTTTATTAGGAGGCCAACCATAGTGGCTCACGTCTGTAATCCCAGCACTTTGGGAAGCTGAGGTGGGAGGATCACTCGAGCCCAGAGTTTAAGACCAGCCTGGGGAACAAAGGGAGACTATCTTTAGAAGTCAGGAGTGGTGGCTCACGCCTGTAATCCCAGCACTTTGAAAAGCCAAGGTGGGCAGCTCACCTGAGTTCAGGAGTTCGAGACCAGCCTGGCCAACATGGTGAAATCCCATCTCTACTAAAAATACAAAAATTAGCTGGGCGTGGTGGCACGTCCCTGTAATCCCAGCTACCCAGGAGGCTGAGACAGGAGAACTGCTGAAACCCGGGAGACAGAGGCTGCAGTGAGCTGAGATCACACCACTGCACTCCAGCCTGGGCGACAGAGAGAGACTCCATCTCATAAATAAATAGACAAATAAAGGGAATTCTAGCATTACTTGTAACACTGAAAAGCTTCTATAGATAAATATTACGATTCTGTTAACATAATCACTTAGATCAGGAGTCAGCAAAGTAGCTGTCCATAAGCCAGATCTTGTCTGCCGTGTGTTTTTGTGAATAACATTTTACTGGAACGCAGCCCCACTCACGGGCACAGGTATTGTCTCTCCCAGCTTTCCCACTACGACTGCAGAGCTGAGTAGCTGTGACTGAGACCCTATGGCCCACAGAGACTAAAATACCTACCATCTGATCCCTACTGAAA